AACAAGGCTTGCACTCATTCTACCTCCCCTTGTAGAACAGTTCCGAAGCGATGCTGCCGTGGCTGTGGGAAACTGATGCCAAAGATTAGCATCGGAAGAAACCGATGACATATTCCTCCGGAATTCCCGATGTGGTGAGCTTATTACATATAGATGCTGTTTAGTCTAGGTGATGGAGGCGGTGAAGCAAGTGTTCGGTTTAGTGTTGTGATTCGGATGTAGGGCTTCGTATTGATTTGTTACTGATATGGTATTATCATCAGTGAAATGGTTTTCAACATCAGAAGGAAAGATAAAAGCCTTCAAGAATGGGTTAATTACGTCAAGCGTCCTCAGTATTTTAAATTGGTTTATTAGTTAAATCTTAAAGTATCACTATTTGAATCAAGTCTAGTTGTTAAAAAATTGATGAATCGAAATGTTTTAAAATTGATTTAATTCTTGACAATATTAATATTTAAATATAATTTCAATTTTAAAAAAATAAGCTAAGTTTGAATTAGCATTTAATATCTAATTTGACAGGTAGATGGATGGAAATATTTTGATACAAACAATTTATTTAGAATGTTTTAAAGTTTAAGGACTCGTTTAAAATGTGAGCAATAATTTGGATGCGTTTAGTGAATTAGCTCACGAAAAAAAAGGAGAAATATTACATCGGAATTCACATTATATACAGATTTGAATATCCGAATTCAATTTCGAATATTAAAATAAAAACTATGTTGGTTTCTAAGTGATGGATCGAATCACGCAACGCAATTGAAAGCTAAGAGATTGAGATTTGAGATCAGTTATCGGTTAGATTCAGAGATTTAGCTAAATAAAAAATGGCAGCCGAGGAAGGTAAAACATCAGATCCCCAGTTTTTCAACCTCCTTTCCAGTTTACTCCATCAGGTACTTTTTATATTTCATTCAATTTCTCCTCTCAATTCCCTCTCCATTCTTAGGTTTTAGTCGTAACGGACCCAGATTCACTTGATTCATCATATAGGTTTTACTAGAAATCGTGTCCTTTTCGATTTAATGTAATTTTTTTGAATGTTTTCCTTTATATAATTCTAATTTTTCTCCTTTCCCCCCTACAAAACGAACACATTGAATTATTGCTTGGTTAATTTAAATTTGTGCTTGCTTTGTGATTCATATATATATATATATATATATAGGTAGAAGCATTGACTAATCAGGAAGAAGTCGAATTGCGATCGAAAATCAAAGCTCTTGGATTGGAGGTTACAAAAGTTCCTTCCAAGTCTACACTCAGCCTTGATGAGGTATATTTTCTGAGCTGAACCCAAAACTACTATCTAGATGTGTTAAAACTTTGGTTAAATCCTAATTTCCCTACCAAACCGGAAATTTTCGATTAATCGGTCATCGGTTAGTTACCTATTGAACTTCGGTTGAGTGATGGAAAGAGATTTTTTAGGAATTTCGATTTTTGGTTAATTCGGTTTGGTCTAGTGATATGTTGCATGTCCGATACTATACTGTTTATTCATAGTTTACATACATAAGATTATTTGCGTTTATATTTAGGATTGCTATGTTATTTTGAGATGAGATACAAAATTATGCATTGAAGTAAAACTCGGTTAAACAAGCCGAAGTTAATGCAGTTTGGTTAATGAATTCACCCAAAAGATCGGTTTGATTGACTGAATTTTGATTCGGTTATTAACTGAACGGACCATTTAAACACTTCTACTACTCTCCATCATCTTCGCGCATTCATATCGTTTAAGCTGGGAAATTTCTCACTTGAGTCTACTCAATGTTGTGTATGTTTTATGTGGATATCAGCTGGAAATTGCAAGAGAGTTGGACAAATTATCGGCTAAGTTGGAAGGTGTGGATGAGATGATATCCTCCGCCATGGCTGCAGATCCGCAGGTGCAGTCCCTCTTGAGTGGCACCGCCGATGTATGGATGCCAATCATTACTGCCAATGCTGATGAGCGACGCAATTTGGCTGCATCGATCAGTGCTGATAATAACCCTCTTGTCGACGACAAACCCAACAACGACAACTGATCATTTCATCAGTCAGTCACCATCTCATACTAAATTATGGTACTATTTTCTTTCATTCTGTTTCTTAGGTGTTTGGGGAGGGAGGGTATGTTACATGTCTATATATTCATTTCATTATCTGCATGGATTAATCATTTTGTGTGTGTCTAAATCTGATATTTAGTAGTCGTATTTAAATTTCATCTATTTCGAACTCGAGATCCTTGGGTCATCGGCCGTTTGCCAGAAGTTTCGGAATTAATACCGATATTTGAGTAACAAATCTAATAAATCTAGCCCTTGGTGTATTGGGTTTTTGTGTGTGTGTGTGTGTGGAAAGGGAGTGTCTTCGAGTTCTTTAAAGCTAGTCGAAATGGAGAAACTAACGTGAAGTACATGAGTTATCTTGCATCTTGTCATGTCAAGATGGTTAAGGTTAATAAAATAGGGAGTTGAAGGTTAAATTTGATCTTTTTTAAAGGTTAAGGGTTGCATTTAGTTAAAAATAAAATAAGGGTCGAATTGATAAAAATCAATCAATATTAAGGGTTAAATTTAGAATTACGCCTTTTTTAGCTACATTACGAGAGGATGATGTGAAGGAGGAGGGAAGTGACGTTGGAGCTAAGGGCGGTGAATTCATTATGCGTTTCCAGTGCGGTGCGTTGACTCACATGGAGAAGTCAAGATATATCTTTGCTATACTGCTAAATTGTTCATATATCTCATCGTATGTATGCCTTGAAAAATAAAGGCGATCCATCACAAGTGATAAAGGGTTGATTAATCTAGGTGACATTTCACACTAAAATGTAACTTAATGCACTAACTCAAAACCACACAATTTGAATAAGAATATTAATTTATTGAAAATGTAAAAATTAATTCATTAAATGATCTCAGTAGTAAAGAAGAATATTATTCTTTTCAGAAGATCCAGATTTGAACAGTTGCGCTTGTAGAGCGTATGTACGTTGCTACTGGTTAAGAAGGATTTTAAATATATATTATTTTGTAATCATCCTAAATTATTAAAAAGTGTCATATTAAACTATTGTTGTTTAGATAACAAATGTTAATAATTGAATGATCATTTTATTACAAATTGATAATATTAATAATTTTAATGTAATTCTTTGAACTTCAATAATGAAAAGAAAAGTTAAGTCAAATTTCAATCACCGTTTGTATAGTTCAATCTTTATCTGGTTTATATAAAATCGACTTATTATCTACCTTTCACCCGTGAGACGTTTTCTATGGATAAAATCATAATACTAGAAAACCCAAAATATATATGTCATATTTGGGATGTTTATGGACGGTTACGAGTTTTTTTTAATTGCAATCTATCTATTAAGAAATTATTAATTGCTAATCGTTATTAACGGTTTGGTTACAGGTTAACCTACAGTTAACTTAATACAATTATTTTTTAAAAATAACACAACATAAACATTTTAAAATTTCATAATTCATACAAGTATATGTGTAGCACTTAACACATACTTACACCGTTGTAAATGAATAAAATAAAAAAGTGTAACATTTAACACATACTTACACCGTTGTAAATGAATAAAATAAAAAAGTGTAACATTTAACACATACTTACATCAGTGTAAGTATGTACATCTCTCAATATAATTATAAATTTAATTTATTAACGGTTAACTGTTGGTTATTTTTTTTATCAAATTTCATAACCGTAACTTTAATCGTTAACAATAATTTTTAACGGTTCAATTAACCGAAATCGTTTAACATTAACGGTTCAGTTAATTAACCTGTTAAATGTAACATTTAGACCAATTAACGGTTCGAACAGTGACAAGTGGCGTGACATTACCGGTTGGACGACTCACCAACCCTGTTCCCATCACCCTTAGAAGTTAGAACTAGAAAGGCCTCAACTTTATATAAAGACAATATAAACAAAAGAAAGAACATTCGAAAGTGCAATGGAGCTGCCACTTTAATCATTACAACTCAAAATCATGAAATGTAGAAGAAAACCCAGCCAACCACTTCAGCTAGTTCCCCTCCACGCTCAACCTCAACTACTACATTCCACTATACATATATATATATATAGGTAAATTCTAAGTTTTTACCACTCAACTATGACCATATTCTTGTTTTGGTCACTAAAGCTTTAAATTTGTTTAATTTAATTATTCAACTTTGACATTACTTCGTTTTAAGCACTCTGCCATTAATTGTTTAACCACGTTATGATAAAGCCGCTATCTTTTAAAAGTTCTACAAGGCCTCCAAAATTTTCTTTTAAAATTATGAAATTGCACCTGGAATCTTTTTCCTAAATTTTAACCTAGCTTTTAGGATTTTCTTTAATTTTCTAACTCTGGAGCATCTTTTTTTTTTCAAATCCTAATGGTGGGAAGATGGAAAAGGAGGGAATGAGCAATATATATTGATTTCATGGTTACCAGATAATGTAGATTGTAGATTAGAGTTGTTTTTCTTCGGTTTTGGGTTGAAGTTTCATAAGTTTTAAAGAGATTTTGGTAAAATATAAATTGATAGAGTGTTAGGGACGATGAAGTGAGTTCGTTGATATTTGAAGTGGTCAAAGAAAATAATGAAGAACAATAGTGTCGACGAAAACATGAGACGAGTTGGACTCTAAGAATTTTAATGTTGTTGGGAAGATATCGAAATGAAAAAAATAAGATGACTTATCTGTAGCATAAAACAACATATGTCAACAAAAAATAAATAAATAAACAGACTACGTCACTATGTTGTTTATGATTTAATGGCCGAGTGATAAAAAAATGAAACTATTCGAAAGTTAAGTGATCAAATTAATTTTTAAAAAAACTTCAATAACTAAAACAAGAATATGGTCAAAGCTGAGTGATTGAAAATGTAGTTTACCCTATACCTGTACACACGTGTATATAAAACCAACCAAAACCACACCGGTTGAGATTTCAGACAGCTTGTGACTGATAATTGTGTGTTTCATAATGTTAAACAACAATGAATTAGGTCTTAATCTTAGAATATTGCTGGTGGCTACACTGGCGGTGATTGTTATCAGCGGTGCCAGCATCACGGCAGATTCGGGGGAAGACAAGGACAAAGAGGAGTGCACTCAGCAGCTCGTCGGACTGGCAACATGTTTGCCTTATGTCGGGGGAACGGCTAAAGCTCCGACTCCGGATTGTTGCGGTGGTCTGAAACAGGTTCTTAAGAACAACAAGAAGTGTTTGTGTGTCATAATTAAGTATAGGAATGACCCTGACCTTGGTCTCAACCTCAATGTCACTCTTGCCTTGACCTTGCCTTCTGTTTGCAATGCACCTGCTAATGTTTCCAAGTGCCCTGGTACGTACACCATCGATATCTGATTCATTAGTTGATTAATCCGAATTACGTATGTCAAAATTTGAATTTCTAATCTTACTTAAAAGGGATCTAATATCTTATCTCGTTAGAGCAACTATAAATTGATCTATTAAATCATACTCTTTTTCAATTACTTGTCTAGGAATTTTAATCTAAGAAAGTAATTAATAGAATTTAATTTTTAACCTTTTTAAATTTACGGGCTAAATCTTAAACTTCAATCAAGTATAGGGACTGAAATCTTAATTTAACCGTTATATTCTTATTAATATGAACACGCAGAGCTTTTGCACATGGATCCCAATTCCCCAGAAGCCCAAATTTTCTATCAGCTTTCCAAGAATTCCACTTCCAATGGTGGTGATGGAAGCCCTGCAGCTGCTCCCGGTGGAAGTGGTAAAAATTTTCTACCCTTATAATTTTTGGATTTAGGGTTTAAGATTTAATCAGTAAATGGATTTATTTGCTAACAATTTCTCGAAATGATTTAGACAGTTTAATTTCAAGTATTTAATATATACCTTTTAAATGTATTTTCGATTACTGATTGAAGTTAAAATTCATATACAAGTTATCGTCCTCAAAAGTGATGACATAATATATATCATGTCACCATAAATGATAACATAACATTAATCGCGTCAATAATCGAACAATTGAGAAAATCATCACATCAACATCATAAGTTGATTGTTAGTCAACTAATAACTTCCGAATAACAAAATTTGTTGATTGAAAATTAAAACGTTGGAATAAAACACTTCAAAAACAAAAAAATACTATGAGATAAAGTAATCATTTGTGCAGACGTTGGGAGTAATTTTATAATTATACCAATTTCAAATTTTTTATGTTAATTTTAAGAGGTGATGTCTATTTTTCGACCGTATATATCAAAGTCATTTAAAAGACAGTGATTTTTGACGTAATTATTATTAGTATTATTATATTGGTATTGAATATTGTTGATGACAGTAGAAGGTCCGGCAAGCTCAAGCTCAAGCTCAAGCGAGGAAGGAAAGAGCCCGGAGATACAAAAGGGTGACGGGTGCATAGGCAAGACTTGGTTGAGATGGGACAAAGTTGTCACCCTATGCACATTGTTGCTTTGCTATTTCATGTCTTACTTTTAGTTTTCTTTTTTTAGTATTGTCTTATATAATAAATATAAAGTTGGAGACATACGGCTCGGATGTGTTTAATAATGTATGTTATGTCGAGTGATTAGAAATTTAAAATCTTTTAAATAATATTTTAATTTTTAATTTTGTGTATAGAGAAAATAACGTTGAGAGAGTTGACTCCCGTTTAGAGGGTGAACTTAATTTCGAAATTAATCACGATAATCAGGTGTCATCTACTGAATATTCGGAGATTGTTAATTAATTTTTTTGAATTAATCACTGCTATTCGATCTGTTGACCGACTAATTTAGATCGGATGAAATAGTAAAAAAATTTTAGCAACACCTACTTGATGAATTTAATTTTTACCAAAAGATTTAATGATCCCCCTCAACACACATCCCTTAAAACTTTGAAGAAAAATCATGATTTAATTTAATCAAATTTGTCAAATTCATAAATTAATTTGACATGAAAAAATCTTTAGGAATGACTAAAACTACCAAATTTAAGGGTGATAAAAAGACCGAAAATGTGTAAAAAGATACGAAAATGTGTTATAAAGACACAATTATTATAAATTAAAAAAAGTAAAGAGAAACAAATATGTGATATAGAAAAATAAGGGAAAAAGAGGAAAACTTGTGGTGATTGCGACACCAAACAATCAACATCAAAACTGATACCGTCGCCAACCAACAATGATATAGAAAAAGAGCAAGCAACACAGAAAAAAACTAGGGCAAAGAAAAATTAGGCAACGTTCTTCTTTCCTCTTTAGTAGTAGTTAATTGCTAAGATAAATGAGTAATTACACAAAACATTATTTAATTACTGGTTAGATTTTAAACTGGTTCTTAAATTTTACAATATTGTATGTTGTTGATGGAAAAAAATGTGTTGTGTCAGCCTTTGGCGATTCGACCCTTCTAATTCAGGTGGAGAGGTGCAGTCAGTGCAAGGTCGACTGTTAGCAGGTGGCTTTCTATGAGAGAAAAGAAAGAAAAATGTGGCGTAGGAGAGAAGAATAATATTGATCTCAGAGTTGTGAGAGGGAGGGAGAGGAAGAGAGTCCCCTCTTTTTAGGCTTTCCTTGAGGTATAAATATTGTGATTATAGGACGATTGGTGTCAAACCTATGATGGCGATGTCCATCTATATGTTGATTTTAACAAGATGATTATAGTTGTTGAAGCAGGCTCTTCGCTGGTAAAATATATGGAGTTGTCAAAAGTCCAATCGTGGGGATGTCTCCATCTAGGGAGTATAGGACTCCATATGAATCGTTGGCAGAGACGTTATTTTTGAATATATTCTCTGGAGGTATAATAATTGTCCCTCTTGGTTAAGGGAATGACATAAAGTGATTTGATTCGAGACTCAGAGTGGAACAAATAATGACCATCTCTCGATTTAGTTCAATAGAGGATGCATTTGTATGCTCTCATTCTCGGGATAGAGGAAACTCATTTCCCTTTTTATAATAGCACAGTTGATAGGTGAAATCATCTTTGAGTTGGCAAAGGTATCTCAACACTTATGCTTAAGCATAACATAATACCCTTGAGTGGGATAGTAAATGATAATTTGAAGGCAACTTAGTGTTTTTTAGGTATAGCGACAACTCTACAATTTTACAGTTAGCAGAGGGTATCACTGCATTCAGAGATCTCAACTCTCTTGATCAAAGAGGAGGTAATTCAATACATAGATGTGTCTTTATGCCAATAAAGAGATATGAACATCTCAATACTTTAGGAAACGAAGGATAGTAGTCTAAAATATATCTCTAGAGGCGTAAGCTCACTCGAATGAAGACTTCTCTCACGAAGGATGAGGATGTATGTATCTCGACGGTATGAAGGGCAATTGAGGCATCTCAACTCTTTTGACCAACCACTGATACCAGTGATGAAGTTGATATGGAAAGAGATATGGAGGGGGTTTTCTAAGCCCTCGTCCAAATAGGAGGCAACTCAACCCTCTTGGAGGTAACTCCAAGCTGAACTAGTGAGAGTGCGAAGCGTCCCTACATCAATCGAAATTCTAGAGGCATTTCAACGATTTTGAGGTGAGGGCATCTCGACACTCGTTAGAGTGAAGGCTCTCGACTCTTTTAACCGATTTTAGAACATAATCTTGTAATTTGCGTGAGGTATCTCAACACCTTTTGATCAAGTAGAGGAGACCACTCAATCTGCGATAATGCAAATGCATCTCAATGTGTATCATGCATGACAGGTAGAAATGGGGTATCTTTGTCATGGTAAAATCAAAGTAAAAGACATCTCAACACCGAAGCAAATACATCTCAACCCATCGAGTAGATTTGTGGTCGTAAGTCGAGGTAAAGGCAAATCGACACCCTCGGAGACAACTCACGATTATATAGGTGCAGATACAACTCAACGATTATTCAATTAGAGGGCAGAGGCTTCTCCTCGTTGGAAGACATCTCATCACTTATGCTAGTGAGTGGAGATATATCAACACTCAAAGCGGAGGCAGCTCAACGGTCTTAGCCAAAAGTAGAAGCGCACCCTTTCTATACATAAAATATCATTTCAACTCCTAAACTTTGGATAACATAAATGATCAAAATTTAATAAATCAATAATAAGAGTTAACGACCCAATCACCAAAATATAACTATCAGTAATATAAATGAAAAAAATTTAATAAGTCAATAATATAAGTGACCAAAACATTTTTCTAATTTGATTAATTTGATGAATAAACGTGTAGAATTATAAAATAAAATTAATCTTTACCCAAAACTATTTATATGTGATATCAATAAATATTTAAAAATAAAAAATGAGAAACTAAAATATAAATCATTTTCAGGAAGCTTCTAGAATTTGAGGCAGACACGTTTGGTTGTTTGATTCCAATAAGATGGTGGGAGAGAAAAACATTTGAACATTATACGAAGAAAAGTCAGAATTTATCATTAATTTTAATGGGAAATATAATTGGTCACTCATATTTGAGTAAATTTACATTTTTTACGGTATACATTATAATCATTAACATTTTGAGTAAATTTATCATTACTTCCATTCATTCTTTTTCTTAAAAATAGAAACAATAACATAAAGAAACTGATAAGGTCAACATTGCGTATAAACATTCCTCTATTTTCTTAGTAACCAAACAAGATTATTGATAGACTTTATAAAATGGAAGGTCAAATTTATTGATTTATTTAAAATATGAATAATTTGATATAATATGTAAATTTTAAGAGCTAAATATGTTATTGTATCAAGTAAAAAAGATGTGGAGATTAAAATTTCAAAAAGTTGGATTACTAAATGGAATATTTTAAAGTTATATGACCAAAATAGAATCAAAGCCAAAGTTGGGTGACTACCATTTGTAGTTTACCTATAGTTATATTATAATAAAAAAATATAGGGTACACTATTCAAATGACCACTTAACTATGGGGTTCGTATCGATATGACCAATATATTTTTAATTTTAGCAATATGATCACATAACAATTTAAGTGGTTTCAATATAGCCACCTACCGTTATAAACAAACGACGTAATTGATGTGGTTGTTATTGACTAACGAGGAGTCAGAGGTTCACATCAGCTACACTGTTTATTTTATAACGGCAGGTGGCTTATATTGAAACCACTTTAATAGTTATATGGTCATATCGTGAAAATTGAAAGTATGGTGATCATATCGATACCAACCCTATAGTTAGGTGGTCATTTGAGTAGTTTGCCCAAAAATATAAAAACGCCCAATTGAAATGCATACAAAACAAAGATAACTCATCAATTTCGAACATTGCAGGCAAATTAAAATGCATAATTCGAAAGAAGGAATGCTAAATTTCTATTGGTGGGCATTAGTCTTTCTTTCTCTATCACTAAACCCTATTTCTCCATTCAATGTATTGATTTTCCTTGGTAGATATAACTCCCTCTCAACCCATTAACAACATCCACGCAATAGATCCAAAATATTTTTAAAATGGACACATATATTAATAAGATAAATCAATTAAGTATGAGGTTGGTGTCGATATAACCATCATACCTTTAATTTTAACAATATAACCACATAAATATTTAAATGATGGATGTAGTTGATGTGGACCTCTGACTCACCGCTAATCAATAACATTCACATCAGCTACGCCGTTTGTTTTGTAATGATATGTGGCTACATTGAAACCACTTAAATAATTATGTGATCATATTGTCAAAATTGAAAGTATGATGGTCATATCGACACCAACCTCATAACTAAGTGATCATTTGAATAGTTTACCCATATTACCATTTCACATGTGATTTAAACAACGATGTAATTATATAAACTTCTAGTGTATATTACCTTTTTTAAATAAAGAATTGACGATAAATTTTGTTAAATTTACACTTTTGACGGAAAAATTAATCTTTTAGTTTTAATATTAAAATATTTTTAAAAATATAATACAGAATAAGATCATAATTAATTTGTCTCGAAAAATTAACAATATTACAAAAAATTATGTTGATAATTTTAAAACTGTAGAGATGAAAATACACTAACATCGTATGATACAAAAGTTTGTATTGATTTATATCGAAAGATAGTTTCTCACGATGCTCGATTATGATTATAATTGTCAGTGATCTTTTAATAGTTTAATTTCCTGTTATGATTCATTTGTAGATATAATCAAATATGTTCGTATTAAAAAAAAAAAGCTTATATCTTTTCAAAGCACGCCATGGGGACCTTTCACTGATTTGAATTTTCCATGTTTATCAATCTCTCTTAATAGTCAAAACCCTTAATCGTCAACCAGCCCTCATATATAAAATTATAAATACATATAACGTAAAATGCACTTTTTTTTAGTGGTTTTGAAAGAGGAAAGAACAATGGGTGAGAGTAACGTGAAGCTCTTAGGTTCATGCCTAAGCCCATTTGCGTCGAGGGTGAGGATCGCCCTTCGACTCAAATCCGTAGACCACGACTTCATCGAAGAAAACCTATTACAACCTAAAAGCAAGTTGCTCCTCAAATCAAACCCCGTTTACAAGAAGATCCCGGTTCTCATCCATGACGACAACCCCATCTGTGAGTCTTTGATCATCCTTCAATATATTGATGAAGTTTGGCCGACTGCACCTTCCATTCTTCCTTATGATGCTGACGAACGTGCTGAGTCTAGATTTTGGGCTTTCTATATCGACGATAAGGTTTGTTCATAGTAACGATAAGGTTTATTATTACGTGTTGCTATAATGATAAAATTAGTCTTCAACATTTGTTTAAATGGTCACTTATCCTTTTTTTAACATTTTAAATTTTGGTTTAAATAGCTCATGTTTGATGGAAACCGTTAGTTAGCTAATGGTTAATATATGTCGCTGACATGATACATGTTGTGTCATGTTTTCTTTGGTGACATTGAATGTGATATGTCACCACTTAAGCATATGAGGAGATGTCATATCTAACATCAGCTATTTTGATCAAAATGTGAAACGTTGAGAGGTTAAAATGCTCTAAAAAAATTAGGGTCAAGTGACCATTTAGATAAATGTTGGGGGTTAATTTTATCACTATGTCTTACATGTTCACTATCGAGTTTATCTTAGTATGTTTATATGATGCTATACATTTGACTCAAATTTTAATTATACATTAAATCAAATTTTATTGTAATTCTACTGGTTGATGATTATTTTGTGATTAAATTTATTTAGTTAAAAAATCTTATGAAATAAAATTTTTGGTAATCTAATATTTGACTCTATAAATAGTATATTGTAGACTTTAGAATTACGAGAAAGAATTTTTTGAAACTATATAATCCTTTTATAATCTTTGTTACTTTTGTGATTTATGTTGCATAAATGAGTTATGTAGGGATATTGAAATAATATTTTAGGATACGTTGGATTTTTATATATATAAAATAGCATGTATTTGTACTTTTACTAATTTCTACATTTATAACGAATTATTG